CTTTATTGTTCCATCAGCTGACCTCTTTATAAACTTCATGTTGAAAAACTGGTGTGTAACAACATTGCCTGTGTTTCCCAATGCATATGTACAAACAGATATACAAGAGTGGGGACCAGAGAAGACACATAGATGCAACATGTCACTTCACTACCCACAAGGAAATACAGATGCCTCCTATAGCCAATACTGAGTAAAGAGATTGCAAAGAATTATAGAAACCATGTTTTGCATTCTTTCCCTATCTTTTCTTAATTGAATGATACTTCCTCTCTTAATTTGCATCTGTGAAGCAGATGCCTCTCTGCTTCCATCAAAATCAAATCATGCTCAACTGAGGACCCAGCCTGTTTAACACACCCATTGCCATATGGGAATCTCTTCCTCTTGGCACAATTCCATATGGCTGTGGTGTGTATGAATACTGTAGAATGTGTCTGATCACAAGAGTTTCTTGATCACAAAGAAGTCACTCACATATGATTCTGTGTTTGTGGATGTACAGTATATATTTTAGGATGAAAGAAATTAAGAAAAGGATCTTTAGTTGCTCTTGCACATTGGGATAGTATTCTCTGGGGGAAAATGTAAAATTCTTTATGGGATGTCATAATAATGGCATCCTTTGAAGTCTCTGCTGCCAACAGAATCTGAGGCAAGACACCTCTAGGGCAGGGCTTTTCAACCTTTTGATTGTACCACTTTTAGGACATGACAATATTTGAGTACCACCAGTGCTTAGCAAGGTGTCAAAAACTTGATGACTAAAAAAAAAAAGAGGGGATTTTGGGTTTTACTGATTAGATTCATTTGTTGTTATAGAAATGGCTAGTTTATAATATTATGGAGAAGTAAAAAGTTGAGGTTCAATGTTAATGCTTCCTTCTACTGCAACAGAGGAAGTCTGTTCTTTTTCCCTTCTCCCCCTCACTTTTCCCCCTTTTTCCTCCCCACTGTGTCCTACTATTTGCTTTTGTATTTTATTCTATAATCTAATAAAATATTACAAACTGTAAAAAAAAAAGAAAAAAGTATCAGTTTTAATTTTTTCGATGGCTGTCCTTTGCTGAATCACTTTCCCTTTGCACTGACAAATGAATGATGAATTTATCCATGTTTATTAATATATGTACCACTACCAGCTAGTTCAGGGGTCTTCAAACTTGGCACTTTTAAGACTTGTGGACTTCAACTCCCAGAATTCCTCAGCCCTCATGGCTGGTTGAAGAATTCTGAGAATTGAAGTCCACAGGTTTTAAAGTTGCTAAATTTGTAGGCTCTTGAGCTAGCTGGTCAGCCCTTCTTCCTCTCTCCCTTCTGAGCATTTGCACAGTGTAGCAAGACTGTACCCCCCCCCCAATCCCTTCCCTGTACCCTGAAAGGCACAAGAATCAAATACAAAGCAAGAAAAGCTCACAAAATAAGCCTGTTTTTTTTTTCTCTTTAAGCTGCCTCAGGTGTGTCACGTGTCACAATGTTGCAATCCTAGACTGAAAGGCTCCAGCAATTGTGAAAAGCTTTAGCTTTAAATTAAGCTTCTTTACCTTCAAAGAAAACTTTCTAAAAGCCATAGACAGACTCAATTAAAGGGGGTAAAACTAATTTCATTTGTTTAAAGGGATTAAACCTTTCCTGTTGTCTTTTTTTTCTCTTCCCCCACCCAAATCACCTCCTTTTATAGCCTCTCCTCTCCTCCCCCCCTTTTCTTTACTTCACCTCCAGCTCCAGCTGCTTGTGGAAGCGCCAATCAGCTGGATCCCTGCTGACTCCTGGGGCTTCTGCCAGCCCAGACAGCTGCAGCTGCCTCTCCCTCAGGTTTGGCTCGCTTAGGCTCATTCCCCTTCACTGCTACACTTGGCTAGCAGTCACGTACCACCTGCCATATGGCAAAGTACCACAGGTGGTACATATCACTGGTTGAAAAGCCCTGTTCTAGGGAATGAGGTTAGGTTGATTAGATCTGGTTTGCAAAAAGATTCAAAAACGCTTAAACATCTTTTTGCTGCTATGTCATGGCTATTGGGAATTTTGCAACTCAGATTCATTAGCACTTGCAATATCTTTTTCAGTGAGATGTTTCTTTGATATTATTCAATAGATTTCAAATTGAACATCTTGGATGCTTCCAAATGGATTGTCTATGGCAAAGATTGGTGCAGGCAGTTACCAGGAACCAACAATAACTTCAATACATTTTCAACTTGAGATCTAAGGAATCTAAAACCTGGCTGATAATAGCCAACAGGGCAGAAGAAAGATATTTTTGCCTACACTCTATACTTTTGAATCCTTTGTAGTACACAATATAGAAGAGAACTTATTCTCAAAGTTTCCAGAAAATTGACTATCTAGCCTTCCAATATTATAGCTTCTTTTGAAGGGGGAATTGTAAAAACTTTTACAACTGGGGCTAAATCAGAAACCAGTATATTGGTTTTATAACTGGGGCTAAATCAGAAACCAGTATATATATATATTTCCAGTATATTGAAAATATCTAGGATCAAAATGGAAATAAATTTGTGATAAATTCAAAAAAGAAAAAAATGCTTATGTTTATGTATAACAAATGCATATAAAATTAGGTCATGCCTAATTGTCAGAGCAGAAAAAAAAGGACAAGACGGAGCTCAAAGTTGACTCAGCCTTCCATCCTTCTGAGGTCAGTAAAATGAGGACCCGATTGTTGGGAACAATATGCTGACTCTGTAAACAGCCCAGAGAGTGCAACATACTATCTATACTATATACCAGGGGCTCCCAACCTGTGGGCTGGGGCCTGGTACTGGTCTGTGGCCTGTTGGCCACTGAGCCGCAGGAATGGCTGGTGAGTGCGTGCACATGTGCACACACCCTCCCCACTCGCTCTAGTGCCATCCTGATGAGCAAGTGCAAAGCTTTGATGTTACCTCTGTCCGGAAAACACTGCAGTTAGTTAACATTCGGAAAGCAGCAGACCCAGATAACATCCCTGGACATGTCCTCAGGGAATGCGCAGGGGAGCTGGCTGGTGTTCTCACAGATATTTTCAACCTCTCATTGCAGCAGGCAGTGGTCCCATCGTGTTTTAAGACGGCCATCATCTTGCCAGTATCAAAAAAGTCCACAATTACAGGCCTCAATGATTACCGTCCAGTTGCACTGACATCCATCATCATGAAATGCTTTGAGAAGCTGATAAAGGACACTATTGTATCTAGCCTCCCACCACCTTTTGACTCACTTCAGTTTGCCTACCGACCACATTGCTCTACGGATGATGCTATTTTTTCCGTTCCTCACTTAGAGGAAAGAAATACTCATGTGCATTTGCTGTTTTGTCAACTTCAGTTCGGCATTTAACACAATCATTCCCCAGCATCTAGTAGACAAACTGGGCCTTTTAGGCTTAAACAATCCTTTGTGCAACTGGATTCTTGATTTTCTTACCAACAGGCCCCAATATCTGCGAGTTGGAACAAATACCTCTAATACCATTTTCTTGAGCACAGGTTCTCCTCAGGACTGTGTCTTAAGTCTGCTGCTGTTCACCCTGTTGACCTATGACTGTTGTGCTAGGTTTGCCACCAACCATATTGTGAAGTTTGCAGATGATACAACAGTAGTGGGCCTTATTCAGGATGACAAGGTGGAAGCTTACCGCAAGGAGGTTGAAGGGTTGGTGAACTGGTGTAAGGAAAACAGCCTAGTTTTAAATACCAGAAAAACCAAAGAGATCATTGCTGATTTCAGAAAAGGCAGGCACAGCCACACTTCTCTGTGCATAAATGATTCACCTGTGGAGATGGTTACCAGCATCAAATTCCTGGGTGTGCAGCTAATGAGTAGGCTGACTTGGTCGCTCAACAATGAGAAACTGGTGAAGTGGGCACAGCAATGCCTGCATTTTCTGCGCCGCATGAGAAAAGCACATCTTCCTTCCCCTGTCCTGACCACTTTCTAGAGGGGGACAATTGAAAGCATCCTGTCATATAGCATCACAGTCTGGTTTGGAGGCATCAATGCTTCAGACAGGAAGGCAGTGCAGAGTGGTAAGAATGACTGAAAAGATCATTGGCAGTTCCCTCCCTCCCATCCAGGACATAGCACAGAAGCACTGCTTGAGCAGGGTCCGTAAGATTATCTGAGATACTACACATCCTCTTCATGACCTCTTTTCATTGTTACCTTCTGGGAGGAGGTTTCTTGGTATCTGAAGCAGAACATCCAGATTCAGCCAGAGTTTCATTTCATACAGCATTAACCTTGCGAACTCTCAAGCTTCCTCCCTCCATTTTATATTCAAGATGGACAATATTTAATATTTATTTGCTATGTATATGTAGGGATGTGGGTCTATACATATGTTGACATAGTATGTTTAGGTGTGTGTTATGCATGTTTCACTTTGAGAGCAGGCAACTAAATTTCATTTTTGATATGTGCCATTGTGCCCATAGTATAAAAATGACAATAAAGGTTATCTTATCTTATCTTAGTGGCCCCATTTGTGCAGGTATGGAGTATTAGTGCCACCAGTGTCACACGGGCACTAGCGGCCCATTTGGGCATGTGCACGGTGCTACTCATTTGTGCCGAGGGTGCATGTGCGCGCACATTTCCCTGCTCCTCCCTTTCCCAGAAAGGTTGGGGAGCTCTGCTATATACTATAGATATACTACATACATACTAGACTTATATACCACCCAGAGAGTGCACTATAGGGCTGTATATAAGTCTTAAGTGCTATTGCTATTTTGCTATTGCTAAAAACAGCAATAAGCCCAGCAATCTCACCTCTAGCTTCACCTTACCTTAAAATTTATTCTGGATATAATTATGTGTAAAGTATATTTGTGGATATGGATACAGATATCATGTATTCAGACTCCTGAAACAAGCTAGATATAGCAAGAATTATTTGGAAGAGGCCAACATTTACTATAGTTGATGTACTTATGGATTGTTGGAAGAATAAAAAGTGACCTCGAGAAAGAAGGAGGGTTTTTAAGACAAACGACAAAATTTGAAATGTTTATATAGAAATAAAATTGCCTGTTAGGATGTACATATAAATTCCTATTAAAATGATACAGAAACAGAACAAGATTGTATGATAAAATGGATGCAGAATTTTAAAGAAACAATTACAATGGGAGGATTTACAGAACAGTTCAATAAAATTCACTCCAAGCTATAATGTAAGAGAAAATTGGAAGAAGATAATTGCATTAGTGTTTCAGACACAATTGCCTTTTTTCTTATATTTGCCATAAGAGAAGAAAAAAGGCCATTCAACATCACTCATGTTTATAATTAAAAGAAAACCCAGGATGGTTTTATTATTTTTCTGATTTTGATATTAATATTTATTACAATAAGAACAGTCAAGCAGCATGGAAAAAATATATCTTAGCTACATTAACTTGATTGCCAAAAATATACACATCTTTTCCTTTATTTAATTAAAAATTACAACAACGGAGAAGGGGGAAGTGTTAGACACAGGCAAAGTACTAAAATTGAAACATCAGCATCAAAAGATGGGTAAAGAAATATACCCCAGTGCAACCAAATGTGGAACTTAAGTCATTTTTTAAAAATTATTTCTGTACTCTTCCTGCCAAAAAAAGATTCTGGTGTTCTTCTCTAGTGCTCTTTCAAAGCACATTCCAAGTCACTTTAAACATAACTTTTTACTATGAATCTTAAATCCCATGATAGCTTTCTGTCACTAAAAATTTAAAGTAATTTTCAACTTTCACGCTGGGTTGAAGTCATACATTATGACTGACTTGAATTCACATAACACACTAAAATCATAAAACGTAACTGATAAATCACATGGGTGGGGTTCACACAATGCACTAAGCAGCAAATACGTAAGTCATGGATTTGGCTTAGCATGGTGGGTGAACCCCAGCTCCATTCCTGGGATACTAATCCAGGCAACCAAGTTTGAAAGACAGATGGTTCCTCTGGAAAATTTGCAGAATGAGCAATCAAATGAACCATAATATGCAGAGGATCTCTGTGAAGAAGGGCTAAAGGTTTTTTTTTTTAAATAAAATAAATAGAAGAAACCTCAAGGGTCAAGTGGTCAAACCCCATGCCCTTGGATTATAACAACTATTCTTTGAGAAATAGTCATCCAGTAGGGCTTGCACATTGAAAATAATTTAGAAGTGCTTTTGATCTTGGATAAGCACAGCATCTCTCTGCTGCTCATTAAAACAGATTAGACTGGACCTCTAGCACTAGGGATGGAAATGAGGCTTAACCCTCTATTTTTATTTTTTAACCTATGGTTATAATTCTACACAAATTGAAATTAAGTCCCATTGAGTTCAGTAGAATTTATTACTGTTGAAATTTACACAAGATTGCCCTTCATATTATTTCCCAATTACTACCTGTTCTTTTAGGAAAAATCTATATGTATCATATATGCTATTTTTGTAACAAGACAAAGATCAGAAACAATAGAAATAAAAAGAGTAAATTATAATACTTCAATTGTACAGTTTTAAGTTCTCTTTTCTGTTTTAGAGAAGATCTCTAGTTTAATATGCTGGTTTTACTGGTTGGGATAAATAGAAGTTTGTAAATCGAGAAGTTGAATAAGGTATTTTTTCTCATGGCATTAGAATTCAATATACTAGCTGCATTCACTCATATAATAAACTATGTTTATTATACCTGTTCACAGAAACCAAGTATGGATAGCTTAATTTGACATATGCTCAGAATATGATATATTGCAAACAAATCAACAGCAGAGACTGGTTTAAATCTGAATTTCCAATTCATGCTAACCTAACCATGCTTGGTCTACCTTCCAGCTGGCAATTACAAACTGGTTGCATGCAGTTCATTCCGATCACGGTTTGTTTTGTATGTTTACTTTGCACACTCTTTTTTATAACTCCAATAACAAGACTCTGAGAAGCTCACATAAATTAGAATTTCCAAGCTTGCATGGTCACTGATTATTAGTCACAAGATTAAAAATCAACAAAAAAAAAGTGCTTACCACAACACATTAATCAGCCTATGTGGTTAAATAAAGCCAGACAACAACCACTAGCAAAAAGTTAGCATTTTCTGTAACTTTGTTGCCATCTAGTGGTCATCTATTTGCAGAGTGGAAGTATAGCCCTATAGTACACTAGGAACCTGTTGAGTTAGCTGCCAGAAATTCTATTGAACCCCAGGGGATAGAAGGCTTCAAACACAAGGGGGGAGGGAGAGAGAGGTAGGGAGAGAAGGAGAAAGGGGGGGGGGGGAGAAGTTAAACATAATTGCTCAGGGTCTTCAATAAAATTTTGGTGGGGATTCCAATCTGCCCATAGATATCTCTATTATCATACTAACTGCCTGTCCCATCTGACTTTCGAAACGCAGTAAAATAAAGCATCAGCCATTATCATTATCATGTTGAATGATTCTACCACTTAAATGCACTTTGTATTTTTTCAAAAGAATATCCAGTGCTGTTTTAAAAAGCATTCTGCAAGTAGAGAACAGCTGAAAAAAAAAACCTGTGGTGTATTCCTGTAAATCTGACTGCTTTATAACTGATTTTGTACTCTATAGCAGACATTTTGTCAATGGCATACCTTCCCTTCACCCTTTCTCCAGAGACATCCATAATGTTTTCAAAACCAAATTTGCAGATCCCCAGGGCTGCTATCCTGAATATCAATTGCTAAGAGATAAACAAGAGTAAACAGATCATACAAGGGCTGTAAAAATCAAGATGACTATTAGCTGGCAACAAAGAGATAAAGGTTTGAAGCCACTTATTGGCCATTGAATATGGCAGGTCTAAAGGGGAAACTTCTAATTCCTATTTCCAGCAATGGCTTGTTAGACATCTTGGCTGGAATTAACATTCCAGAAAGAAGCAGAAACGATTGCTGGTAAAATAGGAACAATGGATTGGGATGATTTTGATACTTTAAAATGCTTATAAAGTTTTGATACTTTAGCATGCTTTTGAAATACCAAAGTACAATGAATGTGCTTTCTTTTCTTAATTTCTTTGTTTGTTAAATTTATAGCCTGCTTTATCTACAGGAGCAGAGAGTGCCAACATGGAATTCTTTCCTCCAATTTTTTTTTTTTTTTTTGCAATACTTCTCAGATTAAATTGAGAGAGAGAGAGTGATTGGCCCCAAGTAACTCAATGGGATTTCTTCACAAATTTAGCCAATACTGTATAACATGTTAGCTGTTTAACCTCCATACCTTCCTAGGCTGGTTTCTTTAAAAGAAGTGATTAGCAAAGCTAGAATTCTAGGATCAAACACAGTTTCAGGTTAATATATGAAGTGACAAGTATGATACAAAAACTCTTTGAGGGAGGAAGGAAAGGAAACTAGAAGGTCCCTCCAATTCATATAGTTGAGAAGACAATGGACTGTAAAGAAGAATTTAGTATGTTTTGCTCTTTTAATGAACAAGTTTTATCCAATCAAAAATATACTCCTTTGCGCACAACTCCTTAATGGCAGAAGTAATTTGCCATTGTCATCTTCTGACCATATTTCTATGTCTTATTCTAAATTTGCTGAGCACACTGATTTCTATAATTGAAAACTGAGTGACTGGTGTTGTAACTGATTCTGTTTCAGGCAAGCACTGTTTCACATCCAACAATCCTCTTTTAAAGACTTTCAGGTTTATCTGAACTAGTGCTTGCTTGGGACTTTTTCAGAATTGCACTTGATTTTTATGTGTTACATACAGTGTTCCTGGAGAGGTAAGGATGTGGTATACCAGACAGTTCCACAAACCAGCCTAGTCTCCAGATGGCTTTTTCCTTGATGCACAGTATAACCTTTTCTCAAATGTAAATATAATGTCTATACAGCCAAAATGCCTAATGCAGCTCTACAAGGTTTCTATTGCTGAAGAAAACTGCGGAATTGAGTTCTCTATTTGATATCCATGGGAAGAGAAATGGAGCCATGTAAAAGCACTTATTCCTTACATTATCCAAGAGAGGTCTTTTCAGCCTTTCAGATTACCTTTAAGCATCAGCTGCTTATTTTTTCTTCCATATAATATGATAGAAACCTGTCTGGTCATGAAATAGTAGGGCTGTCAGATTCAGGCTTCAAAAATCCAGATACCACTATATGGTAGTAAAGATGTACACTTTTCTCCCATCTAATAGTGATCTGGAGTTTTGCATCTTACATTTGGAACACCCCCCCCCCCAAATGGAATATTCTTAGGATAGGATGCTTTCAGAAAGCATCCTAGTTGATCTTTTGGGTGCAGGCATTTCTTAAATATACCCTCATTGTGCTTCTCAGCTGAATGTGTAGCTTTGAGTGCAAGAAGCAATAGTATCACTGAGTCATGTATGTAATTCTACCTTATGGATTCTGCCAGTTACACTTCACTGGGGACTCACTATTGATACTGCACTGATGTCAACCCTACAAGGTAAACCAGAGTAAGAATCCAATGCCATATAGGACTGGATTACTTTTATGCTGACAGCTATAATTACAGAAACCTGCAAGTCTGTATATGCTTCTCCCCTCCCTTTATCTTCGTGCTAGGGAAGGACTGAGACGTTAACTCAAACTAACTTGTTGGAAAGAGTTTAAAATATGCCGGTCTGATTATTGCCTTGGCTGTTATTCTTCCTCCTGCCCTTCTCTATGTCCTCTACATTAGTCTACAGAAATCAGGTGGGACAAACTAAACTACATAAATATATATCTTTATCCAGATGAATTGCCTACAAGGAACATTTGATACATAGGATCACAAATTGAATTCTGTCTTAGTATCACCTGCTCCCCAAATGCAGAATTATCTGTTGATTTTCAGTTAAGTTCATACAACCATTGTAGATTAATGGTTCAGGTGTTGGACTGGACTAGGAAGACTCAGACCAATAGCGATAGCAGACCATGATCACTATTGCTCAGTCCAATCTATCTCATACTTTTGTTATGTGAAGAAAGAAAGAGGTGATCTTCATGTATTTTACCTTGAGCTTCCAGAGGAAATATGGTATATAAATGTAAAGATGATTATATTTCTGATGTTAAAACTTTTTTCAACTTTTGTATGGTAGCTCAGCTGGGGCTTGATATCGCCCACTTTCCGAGCACTTAAAGTCACAAAACATGGCCAATGCAGTGTTGTGATCTTCTGCAATGAGAATTTTGTAGAATGTCTCATTCCTCAAAATAAGGTGGGCAGCCTAACATTCTTCAGGTGATCCTGAACCACATTGTCCATAATTGATTATATTGAGTACGGTTCCCAAGACTTAAAGTTCACCAATATTTGGAGGAATACATTTTATCCATCTTGTGGCTCAAAGCACAATACAAACAGAAAAAGGCTTAAAGGAGAAAAATATCCCTGCAAAAGCTTTATGGACTAGCAAGAAATCAGTACTATCAGATTTTAAAATACATTTCTTAAATGAGCAAATGTGCAATGTCACATGAACAGCCCCTTCCCATCTTTTAATTCTCTTCTCCAAATGCCTTTTCCCAATCCACTAATATCATTACAATGAAAATATGGGGTAAAGCCTTTTCTTTTGCAATATCTAGTTTTGCTCTCATTGCAGAGAAAAATATTTTTCCTCAAAGTTTTAAACAGAATGATCATTTTTCTCAGCTGATGTTTTACATCTTTTATATATTTAAATAACTCTTTCCAAAATATTTTACTAATCAATTTGCTCTACTACTCCTTGTTATGTAGTCTACATATCAAGCATTTATTGATGGCAATATTTTTTTTTTAAAAAAAATCATGTTTGCAATTCTAGAAGAGAAGCTGTGGTTGGAAAAGCCTTTTCCCCCAGCACCAAGATAAGAAGACAAAAGTCATAGGCCTAGACAGATTATGAGTTTTGCTGGTGTTGCTATAGAACAACAATTCTCTGCAAAGCAGTTGCAGGTTGCAATAAGAACTCTGGAGATACAGCCCTTTATTTGCCTGAAAAGGGGAACAAAGATTGGATTTAGCCTCCACTTCAAATTACTTCCATCACAACTCATAGCCATTCCGTTTTATTTAGGGCAACTAAATAAGGACAAAAGAAATACTGTAAACATGCTAATGAAGGACAAAATAAAAGCAGAATGCCCTGGTCTGGTTGCATTTTAAAGATGAGTTGGCTATCTGAAGAGTAAGCGCACTGAGTTGGGTTAGTTTTCTCATTAAAAACTATGTTTACGCTCAGCTGAAATGTGAGTAAAGTGTTCAATCAGCTCCTTAACCTGTGGCAAAGCTGCCATGACTGGAAAAAACCCTTCCCAGTTGTCATTTGAAATATTCACTGTTTTTGACAGTTTCTAGGAGCTATTAAACAACTTCATAAAAATAAGCAAACAAACCTTAAACTGTGTGTAAGTATGCATGGAGCTAAACATATCTGTCTGAATAAAACTTGGAGTTAAGCAAATCTCTCTGAATAAAACAAAACAAATCAAACAAAAATCCATGAAAAGTTGCTTCAGTATCTTATTTTTAAGAGTCCAACTTATCTATGTTGTAGATACTGTTGCCTTGTTCAAACAATGGGGGAAAAAACCCAAACATTATTTTATATAACAGTGGTTATTATGGGACTGTAAGTACTTGCTCACCGCCAGTGGTTGAAAATAGTGCAAATTGGAGCAGGTGCAAAGAATGAGCCTAAAATGACTGTATATTCATGGAAGCAGGAAAACTTTGAAAGGCCCTAGTTGGTTTCATCACCCAGAATCTTGCTCTTTAAGAGATTTGGATTTATCTAATAAAGACAAAATAGAGCTGGTTTTCTCAGAATATCTGATCTTGATCTCCATTTCACTTTTTTTTCTCCCTGGAAAGAGAAGGAAATTCATACTGTTGCTAAACCATCTGGTTACAAAATGGAGATGGAAATGGACCTTCCAGCAATGGAAGATCTGTGTTCTCCTTAAATGGGATATGACTGAGATCTGTTTCACAGGAAAGATGTTCTTACCAGCTGATTTTGAAGATGGTTGGAATAGCTCCTGCCTTTAGACAAAACCTTTGTTCTGCCTCTTTGGTGTTGGCTTTTGAGTGGTTGATCTGACAGAGAACAAAAGACTCTTTGTGAATGGCTGGAAATAACTCATCATCGATTCTAGATTATTTGTAACTATACACTGCCTGCAAAGACTTCTGAAGGACAGAAAGACGAGTCCCTTGTTCAAAGACGAAAAAGTGAGGCCATTTCCTTCAGGTAGTTTTTTTTTTAAGACATGTGGCTGGCAGAGATTTGGGGAAACCAAGGTAACTGGTCTGTTATGCTGGACTAGCTTTTCATTCTCAGCTAAACTGTACCTCAGTAGGAGTCAATTAAGATGTAGAACTCTGAAATACCTATGGGAGTTAAATCCTTTGTGTAGGATTCATGTACATGGACCTCCAAATACCACTTTTCCAAATCTTCCTTCTTACTTATTGGAAATTTCAAAAACATCTGATCCTGATTTGCTGTAGCTGGATCTTCTTACCGGTGAATATTGACGGATTTCTTAATCCTGATTTGGAAATATCATGCTCTGCAAAAATAACATTAATCACCAGGTGATTGTGGTTGTGTCCAGCTCATATGTCCCATCTTTGAGGGGATACTCTTGGATGTCAAACACTGTTTCATCCTTTCCATCTAGAGTGCAACATTTTATGACTTAAGTGCAGCAGAATAGACCAAGCCAGCAAGGCAAAGGGGTGTTCACCCACCAGTCTCTTTTAGAAGGGCACTAAATGACAGGCTCAGAACCGAGGAACGTAGACTTCTGGCATGCCTCCGCTTGGTGTCACTGTGACTGTGGCAAGGAAGACTTTCTCGGAAGCCTTTCATATTAGTTGCTCTACGCTTTGGGATCCAAGACTCAGGGAGACTGTTTTCTTATGGCAGAGAAAGCAGCCCAGAATCATCAAAAGTTAGCCTTTGTCTTGCACTGAGGCACTTCCCTTTTCATTTATGCTCTAGAGGGGGAAAAATGGCAAAAACAGCACTGTCTAAATTGGTGATATGCCAAACAATACATCTTTTTTTAAAAAAAAAAGGGAGGAAGAAAAACAGATATGAAACACTCCTCTGCAATTCTAATCTCAGGTGCCTTCTAAATATAATTTTTCTTCTTTCATTTCCAGACTCCTCCATTTAGCCTTGTCCAGCCTCTTTCCCATTGCAGCTTTCTACTCATTAACCCATTCCTTTATAGAATGCATTCCACTGTATTTTCAAAACTTTTTTTTCTGTTTCCCATATTTACTTCGGTATCTAGAATTTTGCCCAAATCATACATCCAGATCTGTTCCATAGCCATGTTAGATTCCCCACCAGACTTCCCTGAAAATAACCTCTACCCGGTAGTAGAGCTAGATGAGGTCCTAATTCCAGAAAATGTCTTTTTCAGAAGTTAAAATATTTATGAATACCCTATTTCACCAAAGTAGTTCAGCTGTTGGCAGGCAATACCTTGCTTCTGGCCTTCTTATAAGATGCTCACCATTCCTTTCTGGCTGCTGCCATCACCCTGCAGGTTGAGGAAAGGGTTTGTTTGGGCTGTAAGGACAGGTGGAATAACAGCTCCTGTTGCTGACATCAGGCTGTTCCCAGGGGTGCTGAGCGGTGGGGAAGCCATCAATGAGCTGGCAGGATTAAGCTGTTGAGGGGAGATGGAGGCCAGGAGAGTACTGTTGGCAGCTGATGGTGCATTATTGCTGGAGTGGAGAAGGGATGTGGTGGTCACTGGGCCAAGGCCAGTCATTGAGGAACCAGTCATCTGGAGCCGCTGCAATTCTCGTTTGTGCTGAATTTGCTGAATCATCTGGAATATCAATGTCTGCTGCTCCTAAGAACCAAATGAACATGATCAGCTGCAGAAAGATTGTAGCAGCTCTCCCTCATATCCTATACCAGAAGAGTTAGAAAAAAAAACCAAACCATGCCAAATACTGCTGTTCTTATGATATGTGCCTTATACTATTTACTTAAGGAGAACTGAAAAAAAAATCTAAAGAAAAATTGACCTAATGTTTTTGAAAAGTGCTTCTATGAAAACAACTGCGTTTGTCTGTTTTGCCTGCTTGTGCACTGTATATTTTTTTCTCTTTTTAATCATACCAAACACTGAGGGAGCTTTTGATACTAAGCAGAAGAGATGAGTCTGAAATGAGACATTATTTGTAAGCAATAGCAATAGCACTTAAACTTATATACAGCTTCACAGTGCTTTATAGCCCTCTCTAAGTGGTTTTCATATTGCCCCCTCCCTCAACAATCTGGATCCTCATTTTAACCGATCTCAGAAGGATGGAAGGCTGAGTCAACCTTGAATCGGTAAGAATCGAACTCCTGGAGTGAGCAGTGAGTTAACCTGCAGTACTACATTCTAATCACTGTGCCACCACAGCTCTAATAAACTAATTAACTAGTTTATTAAAAAAAAACATATTCAAGTCTTAAAAAAAGAAAAAAGTCTTGATAATGAGGTAGGCAATTGCTTGATTAAATTAATCAAGACAGATTTGTGCTGCAAACTTCTGAATTAGCACTACAGCAATCTTTAGCTCACTACTGCTCTCTACTGTTTGTCTAGGTTTCAGGTGCTCAAATCCACTCCTGTAGCCTTAATGTTCATCAGAAAACCATGGTTTCTTTTTATATATATCCACAATCAGTGGTGGGATTCAAATATGTGAACAACCGGTTCTCTGTATGGATGCTACTTCCGGAAGTCCATTCTGGGCCTGGGCAACAAAAAATTAGCTACTGGTCTGCCGAAGTGGTGCGAACCGGCTGAATCCCACCACTGCCCACAGTACAGGTAGTCCTCAAGTTACGAATGTAATGGAGGCTGCCCATTCCATTCATAACTCAAAAACTCATAGGAGTGAATCTCGTACCTCGAATGAGATCACTCCCTGCTTGTTAAAATGCACGCGGCTCGTTAAGGAAACATGAGGCAAAGACCTCCCCGACCCACTAAGATGCTTCATGGTTCCCCCTCCTTCCTCCCGCGCCAGACTTTCCTTGAAAACATCCGTCTCCTCTCTGACACGCTTCCTGCTGCCGCTCGGATCTGAGGCTGGGGGATGCTTCTGCTTGCCTCCAGAGGCCAGATCCAGGCATCAGAGGCCTTTTCTAGGCTGCTGCTACTGCTGCCTGGACATATGGCCGAGGGATGCTTCTGCAGCCCTCTGGATGCCCGATCCGGAGTTGGAGGCCTTTTCCAGGCTGCTGCCACCTGGATCTGAGGCTGGGGGACGCTTCCGCCTGGAAAAGACCTCTGAAGCCCGGATCGGGCATCCAGAGGGCCGCAAAAGCATCCCCTGGCCTTAGATCTGGGTGGCAGTAGCCTGAAAAAGGCCTCGAGTGCCCAGATCGGACATCTGGAGGGCCACAGAAGTGTCCCCTGGCCTGAGATCCATGTGGCAGCGGCCTGGAAAAGCCCTCAGGCACCTGGATCAGGCATCCGGAGGGCCATGGAACAGAGGCCTAAAGTACCATTAGCTCACATGAGATCAGTAGTGTGAGATCTCGTTTCACTGATCTCGCATGATCTTGCATTACTTTAAGCCTCCATTCTCTGCAAACTCACCAAAAGCCTGGAGCAGCCAAGAAAGTGAAGGATCTCGCTCTTCGCAGGGTGATTATTGAAGGCCTAGCATCTAGTCAGACCAGAGGTGGGGAAGGAGGGAATAACCAGGGTGAATATTGCAGTGCGGTTGCTCGTAAGGGTGAATGACTGCTGTGGTGCCGCAATATTCGTAACTTGCTCATAAGCACTCGCTAAGGGAACGCTTGCAACTTGGGTATTATCTGCTTCTGCTCCCCATCATTATCTGGCTTCTACAAGGAGATGGGAAGTGTCTGCTCTGGCTTTGAAAGAAAATTCTTTTTCACTGAACATGGAAATTGGATTTTGTCTGAAGTCCAGACACCAAGGGAAGTAAGAACAGCAGTCCTGTTCTAATTTGTTCTGTGATGTTGACAAAACATTGTCTTTTTTTGAAAACCCTATACCTCAAGCTGATGCCTTGCTGTTTTAGTTAGTAGTTGTTCCTCAGCAGTTGACTGATGAAATGTTACTTACTGAGTTGAGTGGCTGCGATGTTAAGAGCTGCTGCAGTTGTTGCAGTTGAAGCTCAGGCTGGCTGAGCAGCTGGCGCTGCTGCTCTGAAAAGTGAGTCACACTAGGCATACTGGAAGAAAGACGACAAAAAGAATAGGTCAGTTTGTGCGACGCACTACTGCTGCAAAAGACAAATTGAGTTCCACAACTTCAGAATTAAGCAGGGGAGGGGGAAGAAGAGGCTTGGAAAGCTTGCTTATTTCTCTTGTGCTACCCAATCTGATTTATTTAAGAATACCTCCTCCTCCTCCTATCATCATCATCATCATCATCATCATCATCATCATCATCGATCATCACACAGTCAGCCAGATGTTCAGACTGGATTTGGCATTTTTGTCTACCTATCGAGTCCTTACCCAGGACCTGGGATAGGCAGATATGGATGTTTGACGGTATTACAAATATCGTCGCAGGATAGAAGCAGTTCCTAGTAAGGCTGCCTTTTGCAATTGACTAATGGCGAATTTGTCAATGCCAATGTTGTTCAAGTGGTGCTCCGTTTGTTTTGGGACTGCACCCAAGGCGCCTATTACTATTGGTACTACCCTTGCCACAGTCTTTCTATTTCTATTTGTAGGTCTTTGTATTTTGTTATCTTCTCCAGTGCTTTCTCGTCTATTCTGCTGTCTCCAAGCACTGCCACATCCATTACTATTATTATTGACCATCGCACAGTCAGCCAGATGTTCAGACTGGATATGGCATTTTGTCTATCTATCTAGTCCTTACCCAGGATCTGGGATAGGCAGATGTGGATGTTTGATGGTATTACAGATATCGTCGCAGGATGGAAGCAGTTCCTAGTAAGGCCGCCTTTTGCAATTGACTAATAGCGAATTTGTCAATGCCAATGGTGTTCAAGTGGTGCTCCAGTTTTTTTGGGATTGCACCCAAGGAGCCTATGACTATTGGTACTACCCTTGCTTGCTTTTGCCATAGTCTTTCTATTTCTATGTCTTTGTATTTTGTTATCTTCTCCAGCTCTTTCTCTTCTATTCTGCTGTCTCCAGGCACTGCATTATTACTATTATTATTATTATTATTATTAAAATGACCTCTGCCATACTGGAAGCCAGAATAGTAGGGTTCAGGCTATATTTTAAAAATAATTTAAAATACTTTTGCTTATATATGTACACTCTTTCCCAAATACCCAACACTTATAAAAGTGAAGCAGATTGGCTAATGCTGATCCCCCTTGTCCTGTTAGATCGATTAGCTGCTTTTGATCTCATTGACCATGTTACCCTAATAGAATATGGTTTTGCAATAGTTCTACTACCTCCTACATGAGTAATTCTGGTCAATGAATGGGCAGGGGAATCAATATTCAAGCCTGTATCCTTTTATATAGTATGTCATAGGACTTGACCCTTATCCCTTTGCTAATTAACACATTCATGAAACTTCAGGGAGAGGTCACCTATGAGCTAGGGTGAGGTATTATCCATATACTACTGTCGCCAGTTCTACTTCCCATTCAGAGCCAAGTACAAGCTGTTGTGGAACTGTTTACTCAGTGTCTGGATGGGCTATAAGAGCCTGGATGGAACAAAACAAGTGGTGGATAAATCGCAACAAGCGGTTGTTTGTCCAGTAGCTGAGCAGTTGTTTGTCTAGTAGTAGCTATATGGTGATTGAATGCTCCCCCTAGCATTAGAGAGGGTCACACTGTTCCTGAAGAAGCAGGCATGCAATTTGGAAATGCTACTGATTCTTAGCTGTACCCAGATGAACAGATGGAATTGGAATCAGCCCAACTGGCTGATTCCCCCCTTGTTCTTTGAACAAGAAACTCTGGCGTCATGCTCCTGCTCTCATTATCTCCATATTGGTTTACTGGGTCTCTCTTAAAGCCTATCTGGTCTTGAAGTTGATAAAAATGTAGCAGGCCATATGCCAAGGGGTGCGAGCTAATTGCAATGTCAAGCCTGTCCAGGTATTAATATCTTTGACTGATAAAGCCAAAAAGGGTAAAGCTGCTTCAAGATATCTAGGTGACCATACCCTCCAATCTGAATCTGGCCAGCCTGACTATTCAGTTTGGAAGGCAAAGGGATCCCAGAGGTCTGGAATCAATGCCTCTCTCTCTTCTGCTCTTTTCACCTTCTCATGATATATTATTGGCTCCTTTCTTTAAATTGCTGTTTGGAAAGGACTTAAACACAGTTTTTCCAACAAGTGTTTGAGTATGAAGTTCATACTTTTCTTATTCTGCCAGCATGGGTTATTTTAAACTTACTGCCTTTCTGATTGTCATTACAATATGTGTAGTTCTTATTGTTCCTTTTTTGTTGTTGTTATAAACCACCTAGAAATATGTCATTATGCAGTGAAAAAATACCAGGAGTAAATAAAAATAAAGTGGAATAAGTCTCCAAATTTAAGGCAAAATTTTTTCCTAAAATCTGCCTCCTAGAAACTTGGCTTCTTTCTTATGGTCTTCCCTCTTTCTTACAGAGCCTTACCTGCTTTGGCTCATGGACAGCTGCAGACTGGGTGGGCCACTGGTTTGTGCCAGTATTGGATTCTGGGTTTGGGTGGCCAAAGTGCCATTTAAACTTCCTAGGATGCCATTGATGGGGATCTGTTGTCCTCCTGCCAGACTGCCAAGGAGACCATCCACAAGGCTGTGAGTAGCTGTGGCACTTCCCCCATGAACAGTCCCCATGGCTCTGCTCAGGCCATTCATTGGTGGTGGTGGTGGTGGCTGCTGTTGGACCACAGTAGTTAGAGGAAGTGAGGCAGGGCTTTGCTGCAGCAAGGGGAGAGGTGGAGGTGTGCTGTGGAAGGACAGAGAAGAGCTGCTTCTGCTTGGGCATCCTGAATGAAGGTCCTGGAAAAAAGAAAGAAAGAAAGAAAGAAAGAAAGAAAGAAAGAAAGAAAGAAAGAAAGAAAGAAAGAAAGAAAGAAAGAAAGAAAGAAAGAAAGAAAGAGGATGGAGGGAGGGAGGGAGAGAGGGAGGATCAATATGAAGTAACAGGAATCATTTCCAGCAATATGCAGGTCTTGGCATATTCGAGTCTTTTCCCGTGTAAGATTGAGAGTATCTTGGAGACGTTTCAACAAGGTCTCACTCGTCATCTTCAGGCTGAGGTCTTCTGCTTCATGCTTGTGCGAGCAAAGTGTGATCGGAGCTGCCGTCTCTCTATAAATATTGGTGTGTGTGTATGGAGTGCTGGCTTAGTTGCTGTAGGTGGGTTGGTTGGCTGGCTGTGTTGGAGTTATTGTTTGCAGATTGGTCGGCTGTTTTGTAACATCCTGAGTAGTTGAGGTGCTGGCTGTGTGCCCATTAGTCTTTTGTGTTGTAACGACCTGGGTAATGGGCTGCGTGGTGACATCCTGAGATCTAGTGTGGTGATATCCAGCACGCCACCACCATTCACCGTCACCAGACCCAAACCCAAGCCCAAACCCATCCCTCAGACAAAATGCAACCACCATCCAGAAGCCAAACCATGATGACATCACCAGCTGCTGCACCTCCCTCTGACCCCCACACAAAGCAAATGGACACACGCCATGAACATAGAGCTAGACTGCAAACTCAGAACCAAACCAAAGCCCGGTATGTTACATCACAGCCTTCTGCTCTGGACATCACATCACAGAACTCAGGAGGTTACAACGCTAAAGCTCAGGATGTTACAATACAGCCTACCACTCAGGATGTTGCAACACAGAACTCAGGATATCACTATACTAGATCTCAGGATGTCACCACCCAGCCCATTACCCAGGTCGTTACAACACAAAAGACTAATGGGCACACAGCCAGCACCTCAACTATTCAGGATGTTACGAAACAGCCGACCAATCTGCAAACAATAACTCCAACACAGCCAACCAACCCACCTACAGCAACTCCATACCCCCCACCAATATTTATAGAGAGACGGCAGCTCCGATCATACTTTGCTTGCACAAGCACGAAGCCGAAGACCCCAGCCTGAAGATGATGAGTGGGACCTCGTCGAAACGTCGCCAAGATACTCTCAATCTCACACGGGAAAAGACCCGAATACGCCAAGACCTGCACACACACACACACACACATATACATACATACATACATACACACACATACATGCATACACACATATATAAAACAAACAGATATTCTAAACTGTCTACTAAAAAACTGGGATTCTGTATTTTTACAGGATGGAATATGTCTAGGAATGGGAAACACATAGTTTTACAGAATTTATTTTGAATGTTTTACTATCACAATTAGTTTTATTTTTTAGCCAAGTTTGTCCCAGTTCCAATTTGAGCAAATTTCACCAATAACTTACCAAAATCAAATTATACTATAGCACAGGAATTAAGAGTTTTGTTTAAAAAAACAAAGAAGATAAAAACCTTAGGCGTTTGAACATTGTACCCAGTACTTCAGGACTCAGCAATTTAGGCTCAGAACACAGATGCAAACTAAAGAGAAATATGATAGGCGGGACCAAGCTTCTGTCATCAGAATTGGCCCAATATATTCTAGTGTTTGAGCTGGGCAAAATCAATGGAACATTACCTGGTAGAATAATGCACCGATATTTCAAATGGACAATTTATGTGCAAATATAGTACCAATGTATTTCAGTAACAGGTTGCACACTCTTCTCATTGTGCTTTGGCTCTCCCAGAACAGTCTCACCCAGTGGCATTCAGAATGCGTGAACCATGATAGTCTGCTAAGTGATAACGAAGACCTGAAAAGGGATGCCTCTTACCTCAGAGGAAGTGGACAGTGTATTCTCGATACCAAAACTATTCTTGCATGGGGAGCTCTTGCTGATACTCAGTGAATCACTGTTGCAGGCTAGAAGGGAAGAGAAAGAATCAAAAGGACATTTTGTTGTTTCCCTGAGCATCTTTTCAGTAACGCGTTAGCACTGCACTAATTCAAAAGGTTTTTCTCTTGGTCAAACTATATTATTTCCCAGGGGGTTCCCGGGGTTCTGTCTGGACCATATTTTAGTTTTCATTTTTAAAATGTATTTGCTAATGATCTATTGAGTTTTCCTATATTGCAAAGAAGTTCAGAAGAGAGGATAAAATTCACAACATAACAATAACTCTAAAAACAAACCCATTAGAAACAGTACATAGCAAAAGTACATTTAAAAAAGGAACCAGCATCAACCATCCCTAGTACTAATGACTCAGAAGTTTTGGTCAGATATTGTCAGTGACGCCTCTTTCAAGAATCAAAAGCCACTGCAGTTAGGTTTGCTTACTGTTAGGAGCTAGGATGTATTGGGTCTGGCTTGAGGGGCCATTGCTGGTGGTCACCACTTGGAAGGGAACAGAGAGCTGAACATTTAGAAGCTGCAGGCGCTCCTTTTTAGCTGCCAAAGTCATAATCTGCTCCTGAAGGCGCTGATTTTCTTTCTGTAGTGAATGAAGTGCCTTGAGCATCTCTACGACTACAGGAAGTAGAAGGGGAAGAAGAAGAGAAAGTTGAGAATGGAAAAGGGAAGGGCAACAATGTTAATACAATTAAAATACATATGAAATGGGGGAGAAAGGATTTACAAGAATATTTAGTCATTAGGGAGTCATCATAATGGCCATTAGCTTCAAAATGATCAGCATGACCTGCCAATAAAATTCCCAGTCCTTTTAAATACATTGTATACATGTAAAAAGGAACATGGCTTTAATTACCCTAATGTGCTAAACATGTTTTTTTGGCTTCTTTTTAATAAGCAAAATTATGCTAATTATACCTGCTATATAATTATCTCAAAATTTTTCCATTGCTAAAATTTAGGGGGAAAAAACCTAGTAAAGTATAACAGGTTCCAGGAATGTTAAATTTAAGCAAATGTAACAAATGTAATGTTAAGTCTAAACAAAATTATATTATAATGGCATACTTACATATTTTATAGTCTAATTAATCTGACTGCATATACTTGTCTGTACAGTGTTTATTTTTAGGAGTAAAATAAAATGAAAAGTCTGAAAAACTACATTCATACTAATTGAGGAGGGTCCAAAGAGCTGTACCTTAAGTGTATCACAGTTTCTACAGGTTATTCCAGCTTTCAACAGCCTACAATGATTAAGAATTTAGGGAGTAGCTTAATGCAATTAGAAACCTCTAAGCTGATAAAGACAGTATAAACTTCTTCTAATATTCCATCTATGAGTTTGGTCAACATGTTATGGACACAGTGGAGCCATACATATTGAACAGGTAGCAATCTCTATCCCTTTGATGGAAAGAAAGAAAAGAAAATCAGAGAGACAGGATGACGAGAGAGAGAGAGAGAGAGAGAGAGAGAGAGAGAGAGAGAGAGAGAGAGAGAGAGTACATGGGTGAAGCCCGGAGTTATACTTCTAGACCTCTTCCATATATTGATTGAACACGTGATCAGAAGGTGTATCTACTATCATCTAGAAAAAAGTATGATAATCAACTGTTGGATTTTTTTTTATTCCGATATCAAAAAATGTCCATTGGGAAAAAAATATAGCACAGGGTTTCCCCCAATCTTTAAAATTACTGTTTCAAAAAAGAATTCAGAGAAAAGTTTATTCCAAGGGAGCGAGAAGATTTGAAATCATCTTCCCAGTCTCTCACTTTGATCTACTAGCTGCCAACCACAAATCTCCCATTGAGGTTAAATTATAAATCCCAGATGTCTACCTAGTATCCATAATGGTCAAGCATGATGGGAATTGTAGCAAAACTAAGCACTCTCTTCCTTCCCATGACTGGTAGAAAACATCTCAAATGGCAGAAAGGACTTAACCCATTAATATTCACATTAATATTTGGAAGAATGATCTTAAACTGTTTTCTTTAAGGACAATCTCCTGGATTGCATCAAGTTACCATTTTCCTCTGTCTTGTGATGGAACAGTCATGGGGAAGGCTGCCCCACTGCAGAGGTTAATGGAGGGTACTATAGAGGCTTACTTGACAGAGGCTTTGACTCTCTTTGGTTGCCTCAGTCTTCACCACAAGGGCACAGTTGTGCTGTGCAAGCTAAAAGCAGCCTTCCACTACCCATCCTGCAAGACCCAGAGCATCCCTACAAGAAGTAGGATCAGAATTTTTAGTTTATTGTTTTCATGGGTTTATGGAACTGTGGCCTTAAGCTATGCAGCATTATAGACATTGCCTAATTCACTCCCTAGCCCCTGTCAGACTAGGGGGCCTATTTTTCTGTCTTGGTGGAGTTTGGGAAAAAAGTCCCTGCAAAACCTCTGAAAGTTTCTTCCAAAGGGCAGAAAAACATGTCTCTGCTCCATCCAATCTTAGGTTGGTCCACCACATCTTTTGCAGTCCTCAAAGACAATTTTAAAAAAATGTGGCCAAAGACCAACAAAATCGCACATCCTTGCCTTAACCCATTGACCCCTTTCATAACTCACTATTGACACCAGCTTCTCCATTGCCCTGTTTCTCCAGGAGCTGCTCAATGTTTGGTGTGGCCTGGGGGACATTTTCCAGCTGTCCACTGCTAGTTGATACAGTCTGGTCAAAGAGAGTGGGGAGGCTGCTGATGGGAGACCTGTTATGGTGCAGGACAAAGCATCATTAATAATCAATGTTCTCCTTCGTTTCATAATAGCTGCTTTATGTTTGGAAGGCCACAAAAGTTGGGGGGTCAAGACAGAGACACAGAAAAGCTAAATTCTGAGAATAAAGTATACAATGCTGATTTTGCATGGGGTTTGCAAAGTATTTTATTATTATCAGCCATAGGAAAAAGCTACCGGTCTCCTCCTTTCAAGAATATCCTTAATTATTATCTGAGGCTGCTTTATTTCAATTATCTCAGCCTACCAGCCTATAAATTTGGTCTCTTCTTTTATTTGATATCTATGATTCTCCAGATGCTGCAGTCTTCTCCATTAGCAAGTTTCCTGGTTACAGAAGTAAAAAAATATATAGATAATTCCAGCTACCAAGATAAATTTACACTCCCATCTTCCACAAGAAAGTATGTGTGTGTTTGCATGTGTGATACAGGAAAGACAGAAACAATCACACCCAAAAATTCAAGGACAATAAAATCACAACATCTTTTAGGAAAAGTACATATAGCCATTTAGATTTAACTAAAGCTTTCAGAGTCATGACATGTAACTTAGTACTAAAGACAAACTTTTATATGCAAAGAATTTGAAACCCATAACTGAATTGAAGATCCCAATGGAAACTCACCTCTGATTACCTCCAAATGTTCTTCATTCTACCAGCATAATTTAAGGTAAGAGCAGGGCACTTATCAAACACTTACTATTTCAAATGATTAAGAATCAGAAATATTTCCTGTTCTATTGCAAATAATACAAAGTTGCCCTAAATATTCAGATGTATCTTCTCCTCATCCTTGCAATTCAGGTGTTATTGGGTACACAGAAAGCAATGTGAACATAGCTTGGTAAATAAGCCAAAAAAGTGTTGAGCATACTAGTATCTCACATCCTTACGATAAACCCAGCGCTTAATGATACGGTTATAATCTGACTGTATAAATTTCCTTCTTTGCCTCTGATAATGGTGTTCTGATTTTGCTTACGTACTTAAGTTAAAACCTGGGATATGGTAATTTTCCCACTATTGTATATGAATGTTATGAATTGGTGGAAAGTCATAAGCCAATCATAGTATTGCTCGGATAAGAGATTTTAATTCACCGACTACTCTGATTAAAGAAAAGACTTGGTTGAACATTATTTGCACTTGGAAACTACTGTTGGACTTCCTGCTAGAAACTGAAAGAAATGAAAATTTAATTTTGGGATTTGATGATTAGAACTGTTTATGACTATAGAAATGTTATGATAGCAGTGTTCCAATATCTCAGGGGTTGCCACAAAGAAGAGGGAGTCAGCTATTTTCCAAAGTGCCTGAAGGCAGGAAAGAAGCAACAAATGGAAACTAATCAAGGAGAGAAGCAACCTGGAACTAAGGAGAAACTTCTTGACAGTTAGAACAATTAACCAGTGGAACAACCTGCCTCCAGAAGCGGTGAATGCTCCAACACTGGAAGTTTTTAAGAAGAGACTGGACAGCCATTTGTCCGAAATGGTGTAGGGTTTCCTGCCTGAGCAGGGGGTTGGACTAGATGACCACCAAGGTCCCTTCCAACTTTACTATTATTGATTTTAGAATAAGAGGTTAATGTATTTTATATATGTATCTACTGAAAAAGTTGGAAATTATTCTTCTCCACCCCCTTTTTCTTTCCTGTTTTGCTTTCCCTCTTTGAAATTCTGATTTTGCTTTTTCTTTCATCTCTTCTTTCCTAATCTCTCTGGTTTTTTTTTTATCTTTTTGCCTTTTATCTTTTGCTGAAATCTAATACAAATATTTTTTTTAAAAAAACCTTCCTGCAAAGCTGATAGGTGAGATGAGGTGAGGTGGAGTATTGTTTGGTAAGGCTGGAGAGTTAAGTCACCCTGCTTATCTCTGGTCTAAGCAGGCTTGTTTTCAGAGCAGTTTCTTTCTGGAGTTTTGAAAGAGCAATAAACCCGCAGTCAAAACAAGTGAACTATTTGGTGATATGGAAGGACTGCCTGGTAAAATTCCCTGCTTTACTATATTGCTCCCCCAGCTGCCAATTAATAGTTGGGCTGCAAAAAGCTCCCAATGTGGAAGGAAAAAAATAGTATAGTCTAAGAATTATAGGAAAAAAGACATCTCTTTACTGTCATATATTTCTGATTAAGCCATTGTCAAAATAGTTGGTGAAACACATCAGCTTTTTTTTTTTTTTTACTCATCTTGCCATTGTTATAGATTGCTGCTGGTTTAAGAGGAAAAGCATTACTTTACAATAGCTAAAAAACGTTTTTAGCCTCTTTCGGGCTGAGGGCAAGAAAAAGGCAACGTCACGGGGAAGTGGAAGAATAAAGAGATTGTTATTTGTAGTATGCTTAGATACAAGGGGGAAAACCAGAATCTAATTGATTGATGTTCTTCCTACTGGCTGGTGAACATGACTGCATGGAGGTGGTGACCAAAGTCAGAGGAGAAAATGAAACATCTTGCTTCACTTACCAAGCAAGTAGTACATGCATAAATTGAGACAACACCATTCAGGAATGACTTGGAACAATTACAATGCAGGCAGGAAAGGAATTGGTAAAATGGCAACAGCAGATGCTTTGCTTTATGCTTCCTCGTTGCTTTTTACTGATTCTGGGTTGGGCGGAGAGCATTTAACTTAGAAAGGTTCTAAACTAACAAGAATCAGGAAAATTTCTATGGCAAGAAACAAGAACATTCAAGTGGCTGGTAGTCCAACACTTATGGACAGATGGCTAAATTGGGGTTTGAAGAAATGTGGAAAACAGTTTTTTTTTTAAAGTAAACTGATATTGCTTTTTCTGCTCTCTAGTCTATTAGGTGAAACAGCCCTCTTTCTGATCTCATCCTATCCTTGACATTCCATTATTGCCTTCCACAGACCTTTTGGTAAAATAAACTTACATGGAAGAAAGACTTTCTTGGGGTGATGACCCTCGGCAAGCAAAATTGCAGTCTTCCAAATCTGGTTCTGGAAGTGGAAAGACAAGGAGTGATTTTTTTTTTGTTTAAACTTAGACAATTGTACCCTCTTCCCCCTTTCCAGTTCTTACAAAAGATTTATATTTTTGTAAGTATACTTTTGTAAGTGCCCTCTAGATGTATTGGACTTCGACTTCCATAATTTTCAGCCAGCATGGTCAAGCGTGCCCTATCATTCATCTGCCTTTTTTTTGAACCCTTCAGTACATCTTGCTAGAGGAAAAACACAAGACTGATGACATCTTATGTCACATGTCCTTAGAAAGGATAGCTGAACAAGCAATGAGGTAGAGGAATAATATGGCCATCTAGCTCTGGCTACTGTTGGCAAATGTCAAGGAACAGTCCTTAGGAGCTACCTGATTGTGTTTACCTTTGCATCCCACAAAATCTAAGATTGTATAACCTGAATATGTCAAATTATGGCTCCAGGAAGTGTCTCTCCACAAATCTTATTTCCCCAAATCTCCCTCTTTCCAAGCTTTATTTACATAGGAATATATAATATTTATGTAATTAGTATTTTACACTATTACTATGCTTACACTGCTTTAAAATGGAAATCTTCTTCCTATAAAGCTCAGTTTTATTGTGTACCTCTAGGCTTGCCTCTACCAATGTTTCAAGGGATGCTGCTGGTTTCATGTGCCAGCAGAGGGCAGGCGTGTGCAACCACTGTCAATCTGCAACATGTCTCATTTTCCTGGCACTTGAGCATGGCCTGCTGGATTGACTTTCTTAGGAGCCTCAGGTCATGTTTCTGACACTTGGCTACCATAGTAGTTTTGAGCTATATATTAAAAATATATATATCTGGGGGACATCAGTTTGTTTGCCGTGTGCTGCACTGAGTTGCCAGAGAATTTGTTCTTTGTAAAGTATGTGTTTTTCAATAGAGAATAAATTTGTCTTTCCCCTCTCTCCCCAACTGCCTTTGCTTTGACACATGGAAAGCTAACCAGCCCTAAAGATCTCAGGATCTTCTCAGAAGCAGGAAAGAGAAGTAAATATGTAAATAGAGCTGATTTTTGGAAGGCCATTTTCTAAAGAGATCCATGCTTGCATATAAAATCTGTACCTGTTCTGTTGTTTTCAGATTGGTTGAGCAGAGGATTTAATGATAGTCCAGAGGTGAGGGGACTTCCAAAAATGTGTGAGGAAGGGAGGCTAAACGTGGATCCTGCCAGTGAGAAGACCTGTGAAAATGGAAAAAGACGAAGAAGAGAAGAAAAACTCAATCATTTTGTTTTAAGAACAGTGTCTTCTCTCCTGCTTTTCCGAAAGTCCTTCATAATGCTGAAAGGATTATCTTTTAGTGGAGAAGCAGCCAGTTGATACATTGCCTGGAAAGGATCCAAAACATTAGTTTCATTTTACTTAAGGGACACAAACTCACTTTGTTTTAAAATGAATGTTTATTTAAATGATTTTGGGTTTCTTTTCAGCCAAAAATGTGGGACCACACTTGGCTCTGCCCATCTTTCTTTGTCTGGAGTAAATGTGTACAAATAAATGTATGCTAGTAAATGCAAAGCCAAAAGCAATAGCTCTAGCACACCCTGGATCGTCTGGATTATACCACTGAAGGAGGAGGATGATAGTCATTTCAAAGAATAATCACATGCATACTGTATATTGCTTTATGTTTCATTAGAAGGTGACACAATGCTAGGAACCTATGCTTTCAGTTAAAGGGGGGGGGGCTAATACAGGAGTGCATTTGCAGGAATTGAAACCTGCCACTGGCCAAAGAGTTGATTCAACAGAATAATAAACACCTGAAGCAATCTACCTGAATAGCCTGTTTTTTGAAACTTGCTAAGATAATATTTTTGTTTAGTGGTATAATTTAAAAACTGTCTTTGAATTTTGTGGGATAGGGGCTGGTTAACACTGGAGGACATGCTTGGTAAATAATTGATTGTTTAAATTACTAGATTTATATCCTATATTTGTTTTTTACAAGTGTACATAAGGGTTCCATCTCAATCCTGTGAGCTGGGTTACCTTTGAAGTTTCCAACTGGCTTCTGTGCCTCTGGGACGATTAGGACTCAAAATCTTCTAGCTTCTAATCCTAGCACCACAACTATTACCCCAAACTAACTCAGCATATATGTATGGATACCCTTCAATAATAATATTCCGTCACCCCCGCTGGACTCACGTAACTGAAAGAGATGCAACCCTCAAATCTGAAAAGCTTGATCATTCCTAGTTTAAGAGAAGCATTCATGATCTATTTTTTTATTAATAAATCACAAACACAGTTCATCAGTTATGCATGGTTACTTTCTGTTTCATATTTTTTAATAAACATACACAAATAGATAATCACTGAAAAAGTAGGGTGGTCTTATGAGTAATTCTCAAATTATGAGTAATTTGAAAAAAGATGAAGCCTTTCTTCAGTCCTAAGACATGTCATAAATGATTAATGACTGTGTTTAAAGACCTTACCTGGGTAGTAGAGACGGAGGAAGAGGAGGAAGATGGGATGGTGCCAGCAAAAGGTGAGCGGGTGAGCTGGGGGAGTGATGAGGTGCCTTGGTGAGCCAGAAGATTAGAGGAGAGGGGAGTGCTGCACACAGTCCTCAGCATCCCGCCCCCATGAGAAATGGGATCCTTGTTACTGGTATAGATCCCTGTATGAAAAATATTAATGTCGGGCTTGAGATAAAACCATCAAGAAACATCAAGGAAAAAACAACAACCAAACAACCCCCCTATCTGTAAAGAAGAGATATTGTTTCATTTTCCTTCCTCTTTCTGTCTGGAAGGACTACATCTTTGCTTTACTCCATCACTTTTGTGAAACAATTCCATCAGGACCTGCCAATATTATATGATCAGTTGAGATTAGACTCTTTCAAGGTATAATTATTTCATATTTCCTTATTTACTTGTTCATTTGTTTGTAAAATATATTGCCACCCATCTTACCATGGGCTAATTCTGGGTGGATTACAATATTTTAAAAAAAACTGTACAAAACCTAGATCTCAGAGTCCTAGTGGACAATTACTTAAATATGAGCCAGCAGTGTGCTGCAGCTGCCAAAAAAGCCAACACAGTGCTGGGCTGCATTAACAGAGGGATAGAATCAAGATTATGTGAAGTGTTAATACCACTTTACAATGCCTTGGTAGGGCCAACTGCATCCAGTTTTGGTCATCATGATGTAAAAAAGATGTTAAGACTCTAGAAAGAGTACAGAGAAAAGCATCAAAGATGATTAGGGGACTGGAGGCTAAAACATATAAGGAACGTTGCTGGAATTGTGTATGTCTAGTTTAATGAAGAGAAGGACGAAGGGGGACATGATAGCAGTGTTCCAATATCTCAGGGGTTGCCACAAAGAAGAGGGAGTCAAGCTATTTCTCTGAAATAGTATAGGGTTTCCTGCCTGAGCAGAGGGTTAGACTAGATGACCTCCAAGGTCCCTTCTAATTTTATCATCATCATCATTATTTAAATAAAATAATATAAAGATCCAATTACTAAGCTCTAATTAAAAAGATGGGGAGGGAGGAGAGAATTGGATGAGAAGGAGGGGAGGTGGGATGTGTTATTAATCTATCAGCCATCCCCAATCTTCCATAGTTGGTTTATTGTGTGTTTTGGACCTGAGAACAAAATTGTATTGCCCTGTGTAGCATTACTCTATATAAATTTCTCTAAAATATGCTACTGTCTTTCTTAGCTCAAGAACTTTGTGATTTGGATTTTGATGTACAAACCCTTTTCTTCACTGTCCCTTCGCATTTTTTGTAGGTATTATGTCTTTTAGCAAATAAGCTTGAGGGTCGTGATTGACCCTCTACAATGATAAAGTGTTTTGGGAGCTATTTGGATAAAAAGTAGATATATATTACCAGGATTTAGGATCATATTGCTTCTTCAGATATTGCTGAAAAACATTAGCAACTCTAAAAGTGATCATGCTCATGGTATTGATCAGAAGCAATGGGAAGGAAAAGTCATATGATCTCCACTTATTCCTTAAGTTAACAAACTGACATTTAGAATAGTACTCATGACATCATTACCACAAATTATAACTCTTAACCATATCAAAGACCAAATAAGGTTTATAGTCTTGAGGGTGATTAGAAGCACTCTTGCTTTTACCATTCTTAATGAGCTAAGCTGTCTCTTTGATTAAGATCCAAACAAAATTATTCTGCAAGTATGAATCAAAAACAAGGTGCATATAGTACTGATTGACCACCCAAGATATCACTAAGAATGATGAGCATCTCCAGGTAGTTTTCCCAAAGAAAGGAAAAATTGCAATATAGGATATGATTATTATTTGCACACACAATGCATATCACCACAATCCTGCCTATTTTCTCCTGTGTGGGCTTTGTTGCTGAGTACCGTTCTATGACAAAGCAATGCTGTTCTGATGACTTCACCTTTTGGCTTCACCCGGTTTATCAGCAAGAGGATCCCATGTTTTAAAATTAGAATACAAGTAGTCCTCGGCTTACAATTCATTTGGTGACCATTCGAAGTTACAATGGCACTGAAAAAAGTGACTTATGTCCATTTTTGACACTTATGACCATTGTAGCATCCCCATGATCAAAATTTGGATGCTTGGAAATTGGTTCATATTTATGACAGCTGCATTGTCCTGGGATTACACGATCAACTTTTGGGACCTTTGACAAGCAAAGTCAATGGGGAAGCCAGATTCACTTAACAACAATGTTCCTATCTTAACAACTGCAGCGATTTAACAACCATGGCAAGAAAGGTCATAAATGGGGAAAAACTCATTTAACAACTGTCTCACTTAATAACAGAAATTTTGGGCTCAATTGTCGTAAGTCGAGAACTACCTACATAGGATGCTGCCTTATAGCAAAGTCAAACCAGTCTCTCCATCAATCTGCAACTCTCCAGGATTTCAAACTGGAGTTTTTCCCAGTCCCACCTGGAGATGCCAGGAATAAATGTTTTGCATGAAAAGCACACAATGTGGCTCTGAGTTAAAAGGCTTTCCCTTCATCTTGGAAAAATGGTGAACATTCTATAGCAGTGGAATCTATATGGGCTGCCTTTTTCTTTTTTTTAGCAACTATATATATTTGGCATTTGGAGCGCACTTTACTTTCACATTACTCATAAGCTGTTTTTTAAAAAAATAATATCAGTAGAGGTAATACAATTCTTACATTATTTGAATTGTAAACTTCACAAATGTTCTGGAAATTTCATGTTCATCTTTGAAATTGCATTTTCGGTATCTGATTGCATTTTAATTAAAAATAACTTATCATTTCAATAATACTGGTTACTTAGCAGCATGAATAGCAGGGCTATCCGGATAGATATGTCTAACTTTGAGATATGATACCTTAGGTCTGTTTTGTTTGTTTTTTCAATTTTCAGCAGCAAGAAAATTTCTTCTCAGCTATGGCCTAAATGGCTAAAATCCAAGAAGACTGTCTAGGTTTTAAAACAATTTGATATCAATGATGGGCTAATGAAAAAAAGAAAAGTTGTTAGTGCTCTGAGACAGAGGTTCTCCTGGTCAGACAAATAATAAATCAAGGAAATGTTGGACCTTCCATGCTTTTCTTCCCCCATGGAATGCAATTTATAGAGTTCTTCTATCTCCTTAAGATTCTGTACGATTTCTGCAGATCTTGAGAAGCTGAACTATTAGTTCTCGGCAGAAGCACTTATGGGGGCAGAATAAATAATGGAATGATACGTTGCGATGGTGTGATCCAGATCATATGCTTTATATACAAAAAGTTGAGTTTTGTATCTTGAGATACGCACAATCATTTTTATTTTTTTTTGTTTATCCTAGGTACATATGGATATTGGCTTAATTCCTGCTCTTGGAAATCTGATCAGGACCATTTTGCAGCCTCTTCTATGGAGCTGAGGGAGAACATTTGCTCATTGGCAGGGATTCCTTCATTATGTTCCTGGAATTCCTCCCCTCCATCTGTAGCTAAAATGCTCTGAGGGCCTTGCAATATTTGCCCCCCACCCCTGCTCCTTAGTTGCTCCAAATCCTCCTCATAAAAATAAATGAGGTAAAAAAATTAACAGGAGATTACTGTACTGGTCATTTTTGTGGATGGCTTTAGATGGTTCAGTAAGAGGAAGAAACCCAGGAAAGAGAATATTAGCAAAATATTCTCTCTTTCTTTCTTTAATTTTTTTTAAAATCAGATATAAAGTTTTTAAAAAATGTTATCCCTTTACTAAAGAGTATATATGAAAAATATCTACAACTACTTCTTTATTGGCTAAAACCCCCTGGATGTAGCCTATCTTAAAAATGGGCATAATAGTACCTTACAGAAAGAATAGGGACTAGCTCTTTTTAGTTTATAAAAGTTGAGGATCCAATATTATTGTTCATTCATGAGTACCAATTATCCCTTTACTCCATCTTACAGACATCCATACCAAGAATTTCCTATCTACAGAGCTAAAGGCTGAGGTATATATTGAATTAGATTCAAAACATATACGGGAAACTCCAAGTTTGATTTCATACCTTCCAAAATAGGATTTCCTTTTCTCTAGCAGAAGGTTGAGGATGCAATAATAACATTTCTTAGATTTAATTGTACAGTGCTTTCCACTTTACTCTTTGGGAGTGATCTCCAATGAAGACAGTAACATCTGAATAAAGAATTGGTTATGTGCAGATTTGTTTTTGCAGACAACAAACTGGAATACATGTTCTTTGGAAATTAGCTAAAGCTAAAACCTACTTTGACTATTGGGACAGCAAACATTTATTCCATACACCTATCAATTATTCATACAGTTGGTCTAAAATAGAGCCTAAGCGGATAAGCTGTGAATAGAAGCTGCTCAACCATTTCTCCATTAGTGACTTGTAGCATCTTCTACAGTCATCTAAGCATCATGGTGCCAAAGTGATAGCAGTGATATCATGCTTTAAATAATTTTAGTGATGACTGGGTAATGCTATCAAAACAATGCAAGTCGCTAGTGGAGGTACAACTGACATCTTACCTTCTCAAGTTCAGCCTCCCAGCTGCAATACAAAGGAAGTGATACTTAATTCATAAAGTTGTAATAGCATAAGTGCAAAATAATGCTTGTTAAATTTGGAGATGATAGAATATTAAAAATATATTATTCATAATATGCTAATTATTATTTGGTATTAAATTCCTCCAGTTTAAATGCAGTATCAAGTATAGGGATTGTACAAAAGGTTATTCTTATTATTAGCATAATGACTGCCATTTTGCTTCTGTACACTATGCTTGTGTTAGGAACGCCATTTTGTGAAAGCAGGAAGATCACGTACACAGACCCAGAGGCAGGGGAAAGAGCGGGAAAGTAATGAAAGATGATTGATTAACATTCTGTGTGACAACAAATGTCACCTTGTGATTGGTTGTTATCTGTATATAAATAGAAGTGCCTGACCACTGTGTGGCACTTCTGAACACAACTGCCAGTGTTTAGGACAGTGTTCCACCCAACAACTTCAATTGGCCAAGTAAAGTTCTGTATGTCTTGGAAGCCTCCGCTTGAGTCTCCTGATTTGCCCTGTCGGAATCTCAAGTTCTTTGGGTATCTGCTGACCCTTACACAATTAATGGAACAAAGTAAGAATCACAAAGTTTGGAAACATTCTCAAAAAAGAAGATTTGTCAATTGGTGACAATTTTTCCTATTTGTTAAAAGATCTTGTCCAGATCCATTGGAATGAGGCTTGGCAATGGCTATCTGTGATGACAAAAGGGGGAATTTGAAACTGTAAGGCATCTACATGCAAAACCGTTAAAAACCCTGAGGCCTAACTAAATTATGTGTCTGATAGAGAGACAGCAAATTACTTGAAGAAAAATGTAGATTTGGCCACCACTTCCTTAATTTTTAATTTGCAACCTATTCAAGCTACATTTCCCAACACTGCTAACCTGTGTTAATATACTGTAGCAAAACTAAAATCAAACTTATAGTCTGATGATAGTTATAAAACATATTAAAACACACTCTGTTGTGCATTTTATCAAAAGTCAGTGAGATCGCAAGAGCTTCTTCCTGATGAATATCTTAGCCCATTTCTGTGCCATGAGCATTTCCACCCAAAATTCTTCACAAAATGGTTTGAAACAGATCCACAGTTGAGACTGGGGGATACTTTCTGAATACTAGGAGCATAAAACAAACCTTTTAAATGCTGTTCTTACCAAACCTATTCCAGGGTGTACAAGTGAGGGAAAGCAGGAGAATAGGAAGGTTATATGACCACATATTTCCTATTGGGGAAGCAGCAACAAGTCTGATTCACATAAAGACATCTGACAGTTCCTTTTTAGGCTTACCTTTCTGGCCTGCAAAACTCCATGTGACCAGTATATGGAAGCAAAGAGTTTTCTGCATCTCTTTACTAATATCTGGCCATTGTCCAGATTTTTTGAAAGTCACATGCACTGAAAATTCTAATTCTTTATTACTAACAATTGCAATCCTCTTAATTTGCACAGCCCAATTATGGTAGCTGTACTTTACACTCAGAATTATTGACGAAACGCATATGGAGACAACAGCAAGGGGAAACAGCCACCATTCTTTTCTTTTTTATATTTTGTTTCTAGAAACCCTACATACAAAAACTCTTGAACACAGATACTGAACCTCTATGCAAGAGTGGCAGAGATAAATAATTGCTCTCTTGGGCCTAGGAGCCAGGATAAAATGAGAATATTCACCCATGAGGGTATAGAGTACCCACAAGAGTTTTCTGATCTGCAGTAATTAAAAGGAAAATGTCAACTTGCCAATGGTTTTAAATAAAACTGCATCAATCAGAAAACCCAAAATAGATAAGACTGGGAGATCTGTGATGCAAAACACTGCTGTGAAAATCCTTTTGTCATTTTGTGTACAAATTTTTGTTGTTTCTGACTAAAAGTATGTCTCTAAAAAGGGTGAATTAGTGTAACAAGAATGTGCTTCATTAGTCCAAGGACACCCAATTAAATTTGTGTCTAAGGCAGGACTAGAAATTATAGTCTCACTGTTTCTAACTTGATGCCTTAATCACCACATCAAGCCAGATCTCTTACCTGTTATACAGAACCATGACTTTATATACTGAGTCCCCCAGCAATTTTATGAAGGAAAAAAACCAATGTTCTAGCTGAAAGGGAACCCAATTTCCTACATTCTTACTACATTACTTACACAACAGAAAAGAGATTACTCTACTACATTATCTTGCACATTATGCCTGTAGATTCAATCAACCGTCCCAGATATTATAACCCATTGGTTCAGATATCTTAACTGAGATTGAGACACATTTCTTCTTAAGCACCTTCCACACCTCCTTCTCTGTCTATACAGATTTGAAATAACTCTCCACTAATATTCTGTCCCTACAGTTGGCTGCTGCCTACACAGCAAACCATACAGGGCATTAAAAAAAAAAGTAGAGGATGACACGAATTTGGCCAGCGGAAGAGCTCCTATCTTCACTTCCATTTAAATGGATCCTGGCATTCTCATAGGATTTGTCTAATCAGAGTGCAGGTTTGGATGCTACTTCAGATGCAATGTCTGCATGCAAAAAATAGATTTAAAAACAAGCCTTGGTCTACAGATTCCGTCATCCGAGAGCTAGTCTTCTTTGAAGGTTCTGCACTCAGAGTCCAGCATAATGTATGTCAAAAATCAGGACTGTGGTTGTTGGGCGGACCCATCAGACATAAAAAGCCTCTCTTTCTTTGAACACAATAGAGGGAGGGAAAAGAAGGGTGGGTGGGTGGAAATCTATTGCCAGAGGCTGAGATTATAGAAGGCTTGTGGTTTATAACAGCTCCACCCTGGAAAATAATTACATCCTGAATTCTCTCTCCTTCTCTTCCTTGGCTCCTCCCCTGCCCTGAAGTAGAGAAAGTAAAAGGCTGCAGTCACTAGGAAACCAGAGAGATGCTAATGTCCAACTCTTCCAGCTTCCCTTTTTAATTCTTCTTTCTACTTACTGTGCGACCTGAATAGAAGTGTTTGAAAGCAAGCCAGATAACGACAAAGCAGCTGCCAAATAAGCGAGCCATAACGTGCTCAGCCTTGGGGTTCTTTACTCTTAACCCTTTCTTGCAAAGTTCACAAGTAATCATCCCAAGAACAGTTGAGTTCATTACCTTAATGATTTTTTTAATGTTGCTTTCTTTAGCTTCTCAAGGGTCAAGGAAATACGCAATTTCAACTTACGTAGGGATGTTGGAGAAGCAGCAGGCATTGCTTGAAAAAGATTAACAGCAGTCATATCACCTGGGCTGCAATCTTTATATAGGTCTAATTGGCAGCCAGATTACTGAGACAAAAGAAGAAATTGAATGCATTGGATTCTACTGTCTGCCTTCTGCATTTGTTCTAATGAGTTGTGTATGCTCAGATTCTACAAAAGCAACAGAAAATGGGCAATGGAGCATAAGCGAGGCTCTAGGGAATCTCAGCTAATTTTTTAAAAAATAAAATAAAATTAATATCAAGCAATCAATAAAAATATTTAAAAGAATGATAACATCACGTACAAATAGATGTTATTCTACAGTGATGCTTAAAAGTTTGTGAACCCTTTTAAGTAGGATTATCATTTGAATGGGAAATTAGTTAGGTATTTCAATCAATGGGATGATAATCAAGTGTGAGTGTGGGAGGTCTTGTCTTATTTAAAAACAAAATTCTGGGTAATGTATTCAGTACTGAAGTTTGGCCCTCACAATAAGATGTGCGGAAGTGTGTTATGGCTTGAGTAAAGGAGATTTCTGAGTAAATCAGGGCTATTGGAAGAAAGTTCTGTGCCCCATTGACATCAAAGAAGAACTTTTAGGTTTGAATGAAAAGTATTGTGTTTGGCAAAAGAACATTATCCAACCTGTGAAACATGGTGATGGACCAAGTTTGATATTAGCTTACTTTCATAAAAAACAGGCTAAGGTAATGCTTTGTTTGCTTTTTGTGTGGATGGCTCCAATATGATGTGGTATTGGAAAGTCAAGCAGAACATTGCAGATATGTCAATGTACAGCATACTGTACACTTGGTTAACTTCTGTTACCATCTCCTCCTGAACATCTCTGTCAAGTAAGAAAAGCTGTATGAAACTGAGGAATCTACAAACTATGTGAAAATCTAAGGAATCTATAAACTTCATTCAGAGAAGATTCCTCCCCTTCAACCTGCTTTACAAAGGTAATTGTGTTTGGAGGACATTAGCTCATATTCATCTTAGAATTCTTTGATTGCCTAGCAAACAACTCATTTCACATTAAGAAATGCAGATAGCCCTGATTAATAAGCCTAGAAACAAACAGTCCAGAATAAATGAATTAATAGACACGAACAATAACCAATACAACTGAGGAATTTTGAAGATAGGGATGAAGGAAAAGCAGCACTTGTTCTGTGCATGTGTGTATAAACTTGCTTTTTTCGATTATTTTCAGCCTTCAATGGCAATAGAGATATATGATTGCAACATCGTTAGAATGAGCAGTGATAATTTCTCTCAGTTTTAGAGGTGTGATGGAGTTACAATAACAGAAAGTGATACTGAAAGCACAGCAGTGTTGGCTTAGGAAATTACAAACCAATTAAAAAACTAAGATGATTTTTTGCTAGCAGAAACAGAGCATCCCTGAGATTAAATCACTATTTGCTAGGTTCATACAGTAATCTAAGCTACAAATCGAGGATTAAAAAGCTGGGTTTACATGGCACACTTGAGCCAAGGCCAAACAACCACATTATGGATTAACATAATATAATTTCTCAGTCATCTTGCTATGGTATGTGCTTTTAATAAGAGTTTCTCAATCAGGGTCAACCTGGAGGGAAAAAAATCCTAGTAAATATATCATTGTATCATCTCTTACCTCATTTTCCTAGAATCACAAATCCTATACTTCAATCAACTAAAACATGTAGCATCCCGGCCAGAGGCCTACCTACCCGATCCCAGAAGTGGTGATTCTAGGCTGAGGCTTGGAAGGGTGGATCCATGACTGAATGAACGTGAAGAGCCACTGATGCTGGAGCTGGTGAGGGATCCCCCAGAGAAAGGCAAAGAAGAGACACCTGGAGTCCCAATCAGTTGTGTACCTGGCACTTCTTTGTTCTTGCTACCCTTGGGCCTTCCTGGTCCATGCTTACTTTTCTTATTGGCCTTGTGCTTTTTTTCTTTCAGGACTTCTACTTCTTCCCCACTAAGAGACGGCATGCGCTTATGGCTGCTGCCACTGCTGACTCCACCACTCCCACTTGGGGTGCCAGCAACTGAGTTGGAGGTCTTGTAGTCCACAGGGGAAGCATCCCGTCCCCTCTGCTGACTCACAGCCGAGGTAGAGAAACGCATGATGGAGCCAAAACCTGAAAAGATCACCTTCTGCTCAAAGACATCACTTTTCTGCCCTTCCGACAGTGGAGAGCAGTGGGAGGAAGACGAGGATGAAGAGAGGGGTTTGTGGTATTTCTCTTCCTCAGGCTGCTGCTGCTCAAGCTTTGGAAAGGTTACAAAGTCCTGGGAGAAGGGCAAGGAGCTGCATGACGTACCTGAAAGAGGATCAAGCAGAATCCTGAAATCTACAGCAAGCCGACTGGAGATGTTCTAGCTGAGGCTCTCACATATATCTCATCTTGTACTTTATAAAGTAAAAGATGGCAAACAGCTCCCTGCCTGCTGATCACAATTAAATCGATTCAAAACTACAATTAAAATATTTGAACTACCAAAAATCCTCATCCCATTATAAACTAAAAATTAGCTTTTGTGAAGTAATTGCATGCATTTGCATTCATGGGCCTTATCTCCATTATGCATAATAAATAAACTCTTATTCTGAAGTGATCTAATCATATATTTGGGCCATATTTTACTATTTTGTGGCCCTACAGGTAGTCCTCATTTAGTAGCCATTTGCTGTTACAAAAATAATGAAAAAGTAATCTCTGGATCTTTGTTTTATATGACCTTTGTGGATCTATAAAGAAAGGAAAGCTGAATTAAGATCATAAGCACAGTCACAGTTTCACTTAGTGATTGCTTCACTTAACAACTGAGTTGCCGATCCCTAAACAAGGACTATTTGTAGTAGATGTAGGAAATGTTTGGAATTAGTGAGAAATGTCTAATGTGGGCTTTACTAAACTGAGTGTACGTACTATGTCAGTTAAATATTACCTTATTCTTGCTTTACCGTGAGGAGCAATTGGACTTTAAGTGCCCATTACATTTTTTGTTGAATATGATATGATATATTGTGATATGTACTGTGTAAAGTCTTAGCTATAGGTACTTAATAGGTACTATTAAGTACTAAGATACTATTACTGCTACTACTTATATAATACTTATTTTGTAGATATGGAGAGAGCAATAATCACTTGCCTAAAACCACTAATTAGAGTAATGGATCTTGATCCACACTTATCAATGGTCAAAGAAAGGAGAGTGGCAATCAGGGACTAATTGTGTAAAGAAATGGGAAAAAATCAAATATAGCTGAATTACATAATTGATATATGTTGTGTTTCAGTTTCTTGTATCATCCGTCTGGATTCTGTTAGCCTTTAGGGACAGGAAAGAACTACGCAAGATATGGAAATCTGACTATCTGCTGATCAGCTCTACTTCATCCATTCGAACATATGAAAATTTACTAGGACTGCCAACAATCCCTGAAGCCTAACTTTGTATCTAAGAGTTAGAACATATGGGGAAAAAATGTTTGGACTGACTTCTGGTCAATGTACAGCAGGAGCAGAATTAATAACTCCCTAAGAGGAGCCGAGGGTCATGTAAAACAGTGAAGACTTATCTACCATTCAGAAGACTTGTCCACCTACCATTCAGTAAAGCCTGGCTAATTCAGTACCCCCCCCCCTTCCCATCTTTTCTGTTTCTTTCTTCACCTGCTGGTGGAAATGTTACACTGGATGAGGATGAGGCAAAACCTATTGAGCTTTTCCCACTTCCAGACTTCTTGGTTTTGTGGCTTGTGCCGTGGCTTGAAGATCTTTTGCCTTTCACCTCCGATCTGATGACCTCTGAGGGTTCTTTACTGCTCTCATGGTGGCTGGTGGAACTCTGCTGAAATTAACAAATAGGGAAATTAAGAGGTTGTGTGTTGAAGATTTCTTTCACATCTGTACTGCATAGCATATTTTATATTTTAGAAATATTTGCTCAGAATGTCCAAAAAACAGCAATGATCTGCATCACCAAAATGACAGCCTCAGAAATTGTTTCTCATTCTGGATCATGGCTGAATAAATTGTGTTTTCTTCCATGGATGAGTATTTTTAAAACTCAAATGAGGACTTGCCAGAAAAAGGCATGTTAGCCTTTGCTTAAAATAAGTCCATCACTGTCTGAAGCCTTTCATCCCACTGTCATGTAACTCTTACTTTTAACAAAATATTCCTAGTGCCTATTCCAGATCCATTTTGAATGTTGCCAAGAAATACCTTGATGAGATGTGTGTATGTTACATAAATGGTTTTAAAAAATAAATCTTATCATTTGAACCCATGGATTTCATGCCCATGAAAATAAAATTTGTTCCATAGAAATATTTAGGAATTTTCAGTTGTAATACCGAAAAATCTGGAGGATGCCATGGTGAAGTTTGGAGATGATGAATTTAAACAGGATTAATAATACATAGTCTTATAATAACCATTTACAAGAGAACAAAGCACTCATACAACAATCTCTTTTTCTTTCTCTCAAATTTATATAGCTGCGGATCTCACAATAACTGATTCTGGGCAATATAATCATAACAATTGCAGATAAAATAACATTAACATTAACCCTAAGATTACACAGAAGCAGCATAGGTCAAGCATACTTTCAGAATTTGCCTTCAAAGACATAAATACACCCAGCAGGTTAGAAAACTGAAAAGAGGAAGAATAAGTTCTCCAATCTGCTTTCAACATGTTATATATTAATGGTGTCTCATGCTTTTTTTTCCCTTTCTGTTTTCCCCCCTTCCTGAAACTGATCTCTGAAAGATAAAGGTGTTCTCCCCTGTACCTCATACATTATCCTCAAGCAAAACCTCTAAATTATTTTATTCCTATACAGTAATGCAATTAATGTTTTATTTTTAATATTCTATGTCCATGTTCCCATGTCATCGTGGGACATTTTTTTATTTCTTTTAAGCAAAAATTCAAACAGTCAAGCTTTCCTCTCCCTATTTTATTTTTGATCTGCTGCTCACTCATCCATGTAGTGTAAAACATAAAATTTATGTAAAATTATACGATAAAGAATTGCCAGGGAAAATCATAACCAGGATTTTACTGTTCCAGAGGTTATAACCAATATAAACCATGTAAATATTGTTTTTATTATTCTTTCGGGATTATTTCAGTAGTTCCTATTCAAGTTTCCTAACTGAATAAGGGTCATACTTAATAACCTTTTTTCAGATCATTTTAGCCCCACACATATTGTGATGTATAACTGGGAGAAACTTATTTATTGGGTGATTTAAAGATGGGTTTGGAGCCCTCCAAGCAAACAAAAATGTTTGGAAAAACCCAGAGAAGAAGCTTTAAAAGAAGTAGAAACTGAAGCAATGAATGATAGTAAGATGGAAGGTGGAAGACCAATCGTGAAGCCAAAAATACACCTTAGGTGCTCTGCAATATATATTGTTATTATACATTAGAATGAGAGATAATTTTTTACTTGGTTGATATCATTTTGAGGAGACAATCTCTCTCCTTCTGCTCTCTACACAATACAGAAATTGTATACAACCATATTATTAGTTGAATAAAAACCTACTGCATTTACTCTGTTATGTCAATCAACCAGTTCTGTGCAACATGCATTCCAGATAAGTACATGAAAATCAGGGGATGATTATCCTGAGGTTCTGTATTTTGTCCAGGAATATAACTCTGGATGAATACACGTAGTCCTTGACTTAAAACCATTTGTTTAATGACTGTTCACGGTTACAATGACACTGACAAAAGTAACCTATGACTAGTTCTTATGTCACTTATGACAGTTGTTGCATCTCCCGAAGTCACCTGATCAGATTTCAGGTGCTTGGCGACTTGACATGTATTTACAGCAGCATCCCGGGGATTGTCATCTGCAACCTTCCTAGGGAGCTTCTGACAAGCAAAGTCAATGGGGAAACCCAGATTGCTTAACAACCACAATTCATTTAGTACTGATTTGTTTAACAACCATGGGAAAAATGATTGTAAAATGACTCACTTAACAATTGTCTTGCTTAGCAATGGAAATTTTGACTTCAACTTGTGGTCGTAAATCGAGAACTACTTGTAATCAACTGAGCTGATTTATAAATTCAGTTGGATTTGTAACCATCTTTTTTCAGTTTTCTCATCTGCTAAACATTGCAGAGGCCAATAAGATGGAAAGAAATGCAAGGATGGGACAAAGATGGTAATTCCTCAAAGAAGTGCAAAATGAAAAAAAACACCATCATCCATACATCAGGCTGATTCAAACACCCGACCTCATTAACTACTCCCTTTCAGACAGAAACACTAAGGAGGATTTCCTCCTTATCAGTACCTCTCTGCTAATGTACATTAGAAGCTATTCACAATACATGCAAAGTTATAGGAATGCAGAGAGGCACATGTAGGGGGTGGAAGTAACTCAGAAACCACATCAAAGACCTTTTAAAGTCCACAATGCCAAAAGATGACTGAAATAACAATAATGCATTAATGCTGGGCCAAAATGTGATTCCAAAATGAACCTTTAATGGAAAATTCATTAACTTTTCAAACAGCCAACAGTTAAAGAGAAAGACCCAGATGTTTTCAGAGATTACTGGTGAGAAGCTCAGACTTTTCAATTAAAGTTCAAATATAACAATCAATTTAGGAAGCAAACTGTTTGCCATTCTTCTCAGGGGTGTCACTTGACTGACAATTGCAATTGCCTGTAAATTTCACCATTTAAACTAAATGAGAAGCCTTAGTTTTCCAACCTGTTTTGCTGTTACAAGGTTTTTTCCTGCCATGAATCTCACTGCCAAACTCACAATCTCATTGGCTCAAAGTGTGTGCTCTAAATTGGGAGGGAGGAGTGGGGAGTCTGTGGCCCTTCAGATGCTACTAAACTACCATTCCCAGTAGTGTAGCAAGCACAATCAATAGTGAGGATTGTAGAAAATTCTGGAGGACTAGAAATTTCTCTTTCTCTTCTATTTAAATCTTTTTCAGTTCAATTAATTATTTTGTGCTTATGGCAAACACTTTTCATTTAGTCATGATTATGCTTCTTTCTTCATCTCTTCTCATTGCTTCTTTCTTTTGCTGTCAGGTCCCCTCCTACCCCAATAGCTGTAGCATTTGCCTACATTATTACACTACTGTCACTGCCTCTAGCTTAAAATATTGTGGCATAGATTTAATTCCACCAGCCTGTTCCAGCTGCCAATTCCAGACAGTTTCCCAGCCATTTGGGTTTGGGCCAGTCTACTAGATATATGATAGCAACTGGAATAACTTCAGTGGAGCAAAAGACAGCCAGCCACTAGTAGAGCTGTGGTGACGCAATGATTAGAATGCAGTATTATAGGCTAATTCTGCTGACTGCCAACTGCCAGTAGTTTGGCAGTTCAAATCTCACCAGGTTCAAGGTTGACTCAGCCTTCCATCCTTCCAAGATCAATAAAATGGGGACCCAGATTATTGAGGGAAATATGCTGACTCTGAAAACTGCTTAGAGAGGGCTGAAAAGCACTATGAAGCAGTATATAAGTCTAAGTGCTATTTCTATTGCTTTGTTTTTTGCTTCAATCCTTTGGAAACATAACTGCTCTCCCTCTGACCTTTTTGAACTCTTCATCATCAACTCTCTAAGTTGCAAGATCAGCAAAATTCACAGAGTAAATAAATATACCCTTAAGAGTACAGATGTAAAAACATCAACCACACACAGTCAATAAATATTGACCAGCATAAGCTATCACTTGAGGGAAAATTATACCCTGAATCAGTCTCTTCTCAATATTCCTGCATATCCTGTCCTGCAGCCAAGAGGATCTTCTTTTATGAAAGGAATTGCTATAAGGAATGACCCAAATTGGAGAAAGTAAGAGTAGGGAGGGGAGAGTGCACAAAAGCCACTGAAGGCAGAACTGTGCACCATGGGTAAAGATTAGGTCTGCTGAGAGCAGGAGGAGGAAGAGGGAACAATGAACAATCTAAATCAGATAAGACATCTCATTCAAACAGAGATGCAAGAGAACAACTCATATAGGCAAGAATTAGAGAAGAATGAAAAGTCTAGAGAGACAGAGCTTCAGAAGATTTGTCCATATTTCTGGAATAAAACTTCTTCATCCTCTACCCCCCAGGCAATGTGGGGATTCTATATAGGGAGAATGTAACAAAGACATATTTGAATGGGAAATTCTACACCAAAACCCAGATGATAACAAAGTACAGGATCTAGTTAAAAAAAATAATCTGTTGTGTGTCTAGGTTCTCCTGTTTCAAGACATGCATGTACTGTACAGTATGCATACCGAAGATGAACGAATATGCCCCCATGTAAGCCTAGCCACAATGACTCCCATGCATCCATAATTTCAAAACATGATGTAGGTACGATACTGGAAACTGTAGCCAGTGCAAAGTTTTGCAGTTCACTTCCTAAAGTAATTTATTGCACCTATTCACTACCAAGCTAAGTACAATTTTAGGGATGATTAGATCTCTGGTAGCTGCCAGAACTGAAACTATTTTTTTTCTCCCGAAGTTCTGTTTAACAACTTTTATTAAGATGAAAATGGTCACAGTACAAAAATTCTAGCAAGTGAACTATTTCCAGTTTAAAACTTACATACAATTATGTATACATCAGGGCAGACACTTTCTGAGTCTTTCTTTACAATGCATTGGAGAAGAAACATATATGGTATCTGTTCTCTGATAAAACTTTAATATTTATTGAATTGTTTACACAGTAAACAAGCCTTATAGACTTAAGAATTGATTCCTATATCAAGTCCTACAAACTTTGTATCCAAGTGGTTTTTTTCTCCCCTTGCAGTATTAACCAGCCTGTCTATTAAA